GCAAAGAGCACTTGCAAAGGCGAAGGTTTGGCTCACCTCGTTATGGACGATCGAGGTCAAGAGTGGCACGATTACGTCCTTGAATTCATGGAGTCACATTTCCCATCCCAAGACAAGTTTTGGATCGGAGCTGACGACATTAATTGGGATGACCGGTTTTCTTGGGTTGATGGTGAGGAAGATTCATATTAGGATCATGAATGGGCATTGACCTTGAACTTTTGGCTTCATTGGTGTCAAAAAGAGATGAAGGTTTTACCTAATGTGGATATAGTTTACCTAGCGATAGTATGATGAATCCTAGGGAAAGTTCTATTCTCGGAATAAATGATGGCGCGTACGAAGGATATTAAGTTATCTCACCAATGTTTACACGCTCATATCCCATTGGAATAGAGGACATGGTGAATATTTCATGCACGCTGACCTCACGCGCTTTTGGATTATTTTTAACCCAGGGACTTTGGTGGCTGATTCAATGAAGACCTTCTGGCTTCTGGGTGAACCGAATTTCCAGAGTGGAAACCAGAACGCGAGATGCGTCGTGAAGTCTTACGGTGGGAAATGGGAGGATATCGTTTGTTTGACAACCCTGCTTATCATCTGCGAAATTCGTCTCCCCTAACTCATTCTCTAGAAGCCCGTGATGGATGCCTAATCAAAAATGTTTGAGCCATCACTGGCATATGGGTACCTTAATGTTCGTTTAAGCCGCCTTATTGTCGGGGATGTCCTGTTGGCCCATCATTGAACCAGCTTTGGCTCATTGTTGGGAAACCACAGATGGTCTGCTGTTGTTGTATGTTGCAGAGAAAAGGCAAATTTCCATGGCCCAAAAATTGTTGTATGCTCTTTCCTCATTGGAAAAGAATGAATGTGAGAATATCCCATACACTGTGAGCTCAAGCATTAGCATTCCTTCTTTTCTCAGGGATTAAGGAAGATTCCATGTTCATAATCTTGTTTGCTGCAAGAGCCAATTTCAAAGATGCTGGCGCGTTTGGCGTCGGGATATATGTCATGATGAATCAGTCTCCTGTGGAATGAGGGACGAAGTTTCATATGGGAAAATATTTCCTGTCGTCCGTGAGGTAGGTACCCGCGTCCATCTCCTTCACTTTTCATGAAAGCCTATGAATGATGGTTACGACACGACCGGCGGCATCTTTGCAATCCAAGGATAAACCTGTCCGTTCCATCCCTCACAGTTGGGAGCCCGCCATTTTCACACTCGGGAGTTACTCTCCTTCGAGCAGAGGAACACGAGACTCCAAGTACGTGGGTTTTCCCGTGTTGAAGTTTATATCGAGGAGTGAATGTTCACTCCTCTCCCTCCCATTCTCAAGAACGGATCCGACAGTCGCAGAGGCTGGAAAGGAGAGAACAAGCGACCTCGAGACCGTGAGCCGGGCACTCCAACCGGCGACAAGTCTTCTATAAACTGTTTCTCGGGAATTCCCGAGCTCAGTCAGCAGCCCTTAAACTCAGCGGCCCTCTCAAAGATATAAGCAGCAGCCCTTCTCTCCCGTTCTCGAAAATGACCTCTGGAAGACTTCCACGAACTTCGGGTCGGTCTAGGCCAGGGATGTCAAACTGCAGGGCTACTACTCGATTTCATCCGGTATGGAAAGTTCTCTTCAACATTTGGTTTTGGAAAAGTATAGACTTTTTCAACCCTCTTAGTAATTGAAACTGTGGTGTGAGATTTACTAATGTGGACCAAACCATTCCTGAAGGGTTCCATGAGACTGCCACTTTATTCAAGTTTCACATTTCCAGCCTAGGCTAAGCGTGTAATGGCGCGAGTCTTTTCTTGCTTGCGGCTCGGCTAGATAGCCCGGCCCCCAGCTTCTGATGACGTCATTTTAAGGCTCAGCTTCTCGGAGTTTTCATAGTTCGCTATGTTCCGCTCGCAGCTGCTTGCCCAATAGTGACGTCATTCAACAACGTGGTGGTGCCTAGCCAACGCGTCTTTTGGTCTCAGGATCGCCAAAAGGAATCGTGAGGCCAGGGTAGGAGGGTAAATTTAATATTTCATGGATGGCAAGTTGGGGAACGTTAGCCTTATGGTTCCTAATAAGTTACCGGTCTTGGGTGGAGGAAAATGCGCTCGGACCCCTCTCTCTTTTTAAATTTTTTTTTAACGCTTTGAATACTATATAAATTATTTTGGAGTGAATAAAAACTTATCGGTAACATGTTTTTTATAGTTTTTAAACATGTTCTCAGTGAAAACTTGATCACTCGAATATTACGTACTACCTACTGTAGTGATCCAGTATTGGGATTACCCCCCATGGTACAGTAATGCAGGTGGGCGGGAGGGGAAAGTTGGACGGAAAAAAGGCACGGGACGACTGGGAATCGAACTCTGATCGCAAGCTCCGAGATGGTTCGAGGAAGTATGAAGATGGCAGCGATTGGCTGAACGTTAAATGTCCTCAACGAGACACCCATGAAGACCACAGATTCGCCTTTAAAGGCCTGATTGGCCCCGTTAGCCGAGAATTCAGTTTCTTTTGAAAGAAAAAAAGGTAGGCCTTAGCTTGACCAAAATGTAGTCTGTTGGTTAGGCCCTAGGGGGACGGGGGTGAAAAAAGGTAAAGACAACGAAGAAAATGTTTTCTCGTAACTTCATACGATTGATGGACTCACCATCTATCCTACTTACTTCCAAATGTCTTCGTGGAACATGACAGGCTGACTTATGCTACATTCTTCTTTTTACCAATGTTATTGGTATTGAAAGTTATTAAAGTCTTTTAGGAGGTAGAATGTTAACTCCAAGTCTAATTATTTCCTAAGTAAAAATCTTTTGTGATACTTGGATACTTTTTTCCCGCATACCTTGACCGCACTTCATTCTTCCCCTTCGAGAACCTGCAATAAATAATCGCTTATCGGCAGAGATGTTGCAGAAGAATAAGCAAAATGGGAGCTTTCTTTGTTCAGACCAGTTTCCATTCTTACACCTGAATCCACTTGCGTCTCGAGTCTAACCATAAAACACCCCACCATTGCTGCCGTCAGAGAATATGAAGATGGACATCCAGGAGCTGAAGAAAAAAACCCTCTCGTACTTTAGATTCATCTGTCCACAACTTATACAGTAAACTAAAGCTACTTTGTTGTTGCTCTTCAGCTTAAAGAAGTTGTGATAGTTCTAGCTGCGTATCCATCCATCCATTTTCTTGTCCCACTGTCCGTTAGGGTCGTGGGGGCAGACGCTCTAAGGCGGACTTCCACTGGGGACGATCTTCCGCCACCAGGCGTAGTTGTTGGGTGGGTAGATCCAAGCGTGAAGATCCGAGGTTTTCTATGTAGTCTAGCCACCTAGTCCTCGGTCGTCCCACTGGTCTCTTCCCACCAGGCT